CTCACTGTGTACCTACTCCTTTCAGTAGCTTTCTGGCATGAAAGGGTTTCAGCTTTTCAGTTAGGGAAAGTGGGAGGGGATTTTTATAAAATCTTCTCTTAGGACTCTTTTTTTTTTTTTTCCAGAGCTTGGCCTCAGAATGCACACAGCAAACATCTAGTAGGTTCTTTCAGGTAATCAAAGTTTTGACAGCTTGAGAGCAAAGCAGCCAAACCACAGAGCAAAGCAGAGATACGAGCTACTCTGTTTCCCTTCATCTTTAGTAGAGGAAAGCAAGGACGGGAGGAGGAAAACCAGAGCATTGCTGCCAGATGATGAAAAACGGAGGGGGGGAAAAAAGCAATAGCTTGTAAAAAAGGAAAAGGTTAGAAGAGGGCTTTGCCCCGGAGAGATCAGGCAGAACAGTTGTGAGAGACACTCTGTGGCCTTGCAAAAAGCAGAACACAGCTTTGGCGTTCTGTGCAAGAAGCATATGCAACATCAGATACCCATTCCATTTTTCTGCTTCTTCTGCCCAGGCTTCTTCTTAGCTGCTGTTGGTTCAGATGGTGGAGTGGGCTGTTTTGTAACAGGGACTGGATCTACTTTCTTGCCTGAAGACTTGGATCCTTCCGAGTCCTTAGTTACGTGATCATCCTGACCGGCCTTGTGCTTCTTCTCCTTCTTCTTCCGTTCCCTGACGCCGGCCGGTGCCTCGGTCGCGCCCGAGGGAACGGGGGTGACGGTGACGTGCTCCTCGTCTGTGCTCAGGGCATCAGAGAGCTTAAAGTCCCGAGGGGCACTCTCGGAGTCAGACTCGTGGATGTTCCCGTTCTGAGCTTCTTTCTTCTTGTTCTTCTTCTTCTCGGTTTTCTTTTTGTCGGCCTTGGTGGGTTGGAACTTTAGGTCCCTTTTCTGTTTCGCCAGGACCTCATCGTACAAAGTCTCTCTCATGAAAAGGTAGAAGAAGAGGAAGATGACTGTAATAACCACACTAGGAATGAGGATGATAAAGTAGGTAGACTCGTAAAACTCCATTGTGCTTTTTCTTAGCTATAATTCCTTAAAAAAAAAAAAAACCTAGAGGGGGAAAAAAGAAAAAGAAAAAAAAATTAGGTTTTGAGCAGGTTTTTCCCTCGATATCATTTCCTCCAGTGATTATAATAATAAAAGATTTCTCATTGTTATAGAGTAGCCTTAAAGTGACTTTAATAAAATTACCAAACTACATCAACCATGGAACAACTTCTGGAATCATTTACCATTCCCTTCAAAGTTGTTAACCTGGATAGGAAGAACTGCAATTTGCCAGACTGCTGATCTGGGAAGAGAGCAGTTCTCCTTTTCCCTTGCTTTTCCTCACTCTTCCTTCCCTATGTGAACTTCATGAAGCTTTTGATTTCGGAAATACATGAGACAGCACTTTCAGAGGCTGTGAAATAAGGACCAGTACATGCACAACACCGTTTTGTTGGGGTTTTTTTTATAAATCAAACATAATGAATTAAGATCTTTATCTTGGCAAGTGGGAGTTAAGTTTCAGCTTCCTTTTGTTCCCAGACTTATGACAGCTTCAGAAGTGGAATGAGGGGAAGAAAGGAGAGAGCCCTGAATTTTAGTCAATCATAAAGAATCAGGTATTTTCAAAAACTGCTTTTTGAAGTCTAAAACCCAACTTCAAACCCACGAAAATTCCATACATTTATAGGAAAACAGGAAGACCTGTTACTTATTTTGCACATGTAACAGTGTATAACTTCCAGGACACTTACAGACTAGATGACTCCAGGATAATTTGCTGAAAACATTATGTCCCAAACATTAGGGGTTTTTTGATTTTTTTTTTTAAAGCAGGAACCACAGAGTTAAAATCTGGCTTGTCTTGACCCCACAGTTAGGGATTTTTAGCTTCATTCTAACTTTCCCCTCCCCCCTTTCAAAACTAATTGCTATGAACAGACCTGGATTTTTGCAGGTAGAATCCAAATCCTCCTCAGACTGTTTGTTCCAAGGAAAAAGAAAAAAAAAAAAAAAGCACCAGACATTGAATAAAAAACGAAACAAACATAATCCAAACTCTAATTAAGCAAATACAATTCCTGATTCACCACCTCAGTTTAAAAACCACCACGGGAAGCACGTGCTTCAACTACATTTTCCTCTACACAAGAAAAGACAACTCTTCAACTCAAGTGTCCCTTGGGAATGGAAGGCAAGGGATTTAACCCAGGTTGCTCAGAGTATTCCCTGTGCTGCCTAGGAAAAGCAAATAGTTGTGCCTACCCAGGGCACAGGGACTAAAGTCCATGGAGAAGTTGGGTGGTGCAGGAAGAGGACAGGCTCTCCCTGCTTCTGGGCTGACAGGGGATTAGTCTATACTTATTTAAGGCTGTTTTACCTCAATTCCCAACTTTTTTTGGAAGCTGCTACCACAAACTGGCTTTGCCACCCTGCCACCCTGGAGAGAGCTCCATGTGGAACCTGGCTCTGGTTCCAGAGGGAATTGCTGATATATATAAGAAATTCTAGACAGAGAGGAGTTACTGTGATAATATATTTGTACAGTGCATTGAGCAGCAGAAAAAGCAAGGATTGGGAACTCTAATTTGGCTATTAGGTTATACAAATAAAAGAATAACGTTTCAATACACTAATTATTCATCAGTTGTCTTAACATTAAGTCTCCTCCCAGTTTTGTATTTATTTTCTGCTCACTGAAAAGACTCGGGTCTAAAATTACATCCAGCACAGAAAGTTTCAGAAGGGCTCAGAGGGATGGGAGGAAAAGCTTGTCTTTTGGGGAGAAAAAGCACAGATGCTCAAAACTAAGCTCGGGCTTTCAAAATGATTAATTACAGCTACTTGATAAACCCAGCTCCCTGCACTAAGTGATCTAATATTAGTCATCTCTTGAAGGAAGCAGATCTTGAAAACTTGTCTCAGCCAAAGTCAATATTGAATGCTTACGGGAAAGGCTAATCCCCAAAGTAAATATGTAATTAAGCAGATTTTTTCACAAGTGTAATTAAGTTGATCATTACAATACATTACTGCAACAGTTACAATACCCAACCACACCGAGCCCGGCACAGCCCATCTCTGCCTTGCTGGGAACACCAGCACACAGCTGGCCATGAACTCCTCCCATGGCTTTGCCAAGCCAGGACTATCCCACCCTGCAGCCGTCAGTCCCTACACTTTTCCCAGCATCTGACAGGAGATGCTCAGGTCAAATCACACGCTCAGCATAAGACGTGTTGGGAAGGGGTTCGAGGCTCAAGGGTCAGGAGGCACAGTGGGCATAGAGGAAGGACTTTCACAGAAAGTGGTTGTTGCTCTGAGACCAGAGAGGAGAGGACACATTTAAAAGCTTCAGCTGCTTCAAGAGGAGCCATAAATACATAATTACAGCAGCTAGTCTGGGTGGGGAACACATGTCAGACTAGCTGAGGTCTGATCTCAGAGCTGGATGAGCGGCGCGAGCTCTGCTGAGTCTCCGTCCACCACCCTGTTCTCCCCTCCCTGCGCTTCCCTCCACTGGAGCAACGGGATCATCTGCTGGATCTGGAGCATGACACTGCAATGATGAGGTTCAGAGCCTCACCAGTTACTGCTCCTGCCCTCCTCCTGCTCATCAGGGTGAAGCAAAGCACCCTGGACCTTCCCACCCCAAACACTGATCAGAGGCAGGCAGATTCGCCTCTGAAGTCCATACACAAATCCAATTCCTCACACAGAAGTAGGGTTAAAAAAAAAAACAAACAAAAACCTGAACCCAAATAAAAGTCTCAGGATGTAATTAGAATTGATTAAGCACACCCAGGAATGGCAAACAAGAGCTCTCGCTATGATGGTCACACACTTATTTGCCATCTCAGCCCAGCAAAGGTATTTAAATCTCACTCTAGGAGGATGCCACTGCTGCTGGCTCATATACAGCACAAGACAACATCCTTCACCATCCACACCTTGCCAAAATGTCTTTATGAAGTGGCATCCTTGCCATGGGGTAAATCAGCAGTGTTTTGGCTCACACACAATTTCCAGTTGTCCCCCGACAATCTACAATTACTAAAAATGTTTTGTCATTCCCATTTATACTCCTGTGTTACATTAAAAAGCCATCTAGGAAAAAAACAGAAGCAAACTATAGAGGGAAAGAAGTATTCTATGCCATGCAAAAAGAAACAGGATGAAGAAGCTCATTCTGATAAACCAGAAAAAGCAAATGCTACATTAACTTTAACATACCTTCACATACCAGCTGAACTGCTCCTCAGAATTTAGTTTTACCATCCCTCCCATTCCTGTGAGGAGACACCCTCATGCAAAAAATGCATTTTTCTCCCTGCAAGTGCTGCAGTGGGACTTTTATCACTCACAGCTCCCTCAGAGAAGTCCCCAGGGCAGCTGCTCCAGCTCCCACTCAAACCCACAATCCCAGGCAAGGCACACCCGGCAGGAATTGCACTGCACACCCCCTCACTGCTGCCTACGAGAGGCACAGCCACTTCAGCTACGTTTGAATTTCAAGGCATTTGGTTAAATACTCACCTTTCACTCGTATTTGATTGTATTTGATTCTTAACCTGCTGCTGGTCACGTTCCTCAGAGCCCAGCGCCCGTGCCAGGCTCCCCCCTTGCAGACACCCTCCCGTCTCATCCATAAATTCAAGAACTCACAACATCTCTTTAGTCATTCTGAAAAAGGGGAACAAGCCTCATCTGTCCCAGGCCGTGCACAGACTCTGCTACTGTTCCCATCCTGCCTTTAACAAAAGAATTGCACTTTTGTTCCCTAAACAGAGCCCGTGCCACAGAAAAACAGCTATTTCTGAACTCCAGCGCAGTACTACTGCTGGCACCTGACTTCCCCTGCCTGTTAATGTTGCCCTGGATTTTCTAACACACCTTTTTGCATTTAAATCTCAAGTTTCACCCTGTGCAGATAGCACATTTCACGGGATATTCATTCAGTTTAGGTCCAGGGGATTAGCTTACTTGAGAAGACAGAAATAAATTATAGCTCCATCTGGCTAATGAGTCACTCGTAGCTCAGTCCCAGCACATGAAAAGCACGGCTTCTATAAATGCCTGGGTCCCAAAATGCACATTATCTTCAGGGATTTGTGCCTCTTTGAAAAACTAACATTAAAAGGGGGGAATATAGGTACCAAGGTGATTTTTTTTTTAAATATTAAGCAGTTTAAGAGATACCACATACGATTTAGCTAAGGCAACAGCTCCTTTAATTGGGATATTTTCCCTGGGATTTTCTCAAGCTGGCAAGCAGACTAAAAGCCCTTGCATCCAACAGTCACTAGGAACACAGCAAGAAGTCCCAGAGCAGTATCTGTATTTAATAAATTCCTCAAATAGATAACACTATTTTTGTTCTCCCTAATCTGCACACAGTTGGGAACACACTCCGTATCTGGCAGCTGCAAAGAGGATCCTCTTGAAAACACCTTCACTCCCGAGCTCATCCTCCCCCAGAGCTCTTTGGGAGAGGATGCCCAGCAACTTGGGATAGCCTAGGCAACTAAACCCAGCTCTGCCACAGGAAAAATACAAAATTAAGCAAGATGTTTAGCCATTCCATGCCTATTCCTCATCCATACAGCAGGAGCAACCAGCTCTCTGTGACTTGTTCAGGAGTATTAAGTAACTAAAGCCCTGCTGGGCTCAAGTTCTAGGAAGAAGGGGGCTGTCAAAAAAACCTAAGGGCACTTCATTTATCATCAGGACTGGTATAGTATACAAAAAAACTGCAGAGTTAGAGCTTAGGTTACTTTAGTTTGGTTTTTCAAGCAGCACTAATGTTACTGGAAAAACAAGATGGGTTCTTCACACCCCAAGACAAGACACAAAAAACAGCAGAGCTGCTGCAATGTGACACAAAGAGGCAGAATTAAACTGGAGCTGTTGGAGCAGGCAGGGATTTCAGATCATCAAATTTGCTCAGCTTGTTATCACTGGGGTAACTTCAGCAGGTGAGACAGCTGGGAATGAAGGAGCCCTTGCAACAACTTGGTGTCCTCAGCCTTCCCAAAAACGTGACGCCCAGAGAACACCAGCAAGGAGCTGACTGCACCTGAGCAGTTTTTAACGCAGGAAAATAGGATATTACACATAAAGCTCACCTGACAACTTCATAAGGAAAATACACAACTTCCAGTAAGATCACACACAATCTTCTCACAGGTCACTTTTAAAATTGCACAGTTTAAAGCCATGCTTGAAGCAACCACCATAAAGCTCAAGGACTAAATGGCCCTGCTAGTTTTGATCCCAATGGCAAAACCAGAGAGAATTACAGAATGGAGTCATGGAAAACCTCGAGTTGGAAAGGACACATAAGGATCAGAGTCCAACTCCTGGCCCTGCACAGGACACCCCAGCAATCCTACCATGTGCCTGAGAGCGTTGTCCAAATACTCCTTGAGCCCTGGCAGCCTTGGGGCCTCCCCATGACCACTGCCCTGAGGAGCCTGGTCAGTGCCCGACCACCCTCTGGGGGAAAAACCTTTTCCTAATATCCAACCTAAACCTCCCTTTCACAGCTCCAGCTGTTCCCTCGAGTCCTGTCACTGGTCACCAGAGAGGAGGAAGCTGCAGACTGGGATGAGGTCTCCCCTCAGTCTTCTGCAGCCTCTCCTCATATGGCTTCCCCTCCAGAACCTTCACCATCACTTCCACAGCCCTTTGGTCACTCTTTAATACCTTTATAACCTTAGATTATGGCACACAAAACTGCACACATTACTCAAGGTAAAATTTAAGCTACCTGTTTGTATTCTTTTTGAACTCTACTTCCATACACAGAGTGTAGAAATATAGATATAAAAGTCCTCTCAAACCTAAGACTGGGGGGGGGAAGCATAACAAACAGCAGTTCAAGCTCAGAGTTTTTCATTTCAATACTTGCCCTGACAGCTTGATTTGTGCAGCCACAGGAGAAAGCTGCAGACACTCAAACACAGGCTGAGCCATTCAGGTATTAAATCTACTCTTCTCAGGAAAGAGACCTGTTCAAGGGAAGCTCAACAGCGCCTGACACCCCCTCCAAACCGCTGACAGGGAGAGGAGAGCGAGACTTGTCAATAAATCTTGCTCTTCACTTTGTTCCGCTGATACAATTAAGCCATTTGCAGAGCACAAGCTCAGTGCTTCGAATACCCTCTAGGTAAATATTTTCCATTCCAAACATGCCGCTGTTTGTACCATCTGTTGGGCTCTGTCTGCTCTCAGTTGCTTGATGTTAGTTAACACAGACAAGCTATTTATTAAATTCCAGAAAGAGTAGCTTTGCTTCAACAAAAGCCTTTACTTTCAGGGTTTTGTGGTTTGTTTTTTTTTAACACAGCTTTAGAGCCAACACCTGATAAAATAGAGCAGCAGTGCTGAGAGCAAGCCGGCAGTGCAATACGGCTACACCACCCTGCCACCACTATCTGACAGATGCCCCTGGTCTTGTCCAGGCACCAGCAGTGGTGAGAGCCCAGGTACCTGCTGCTGTTCCCACCACAGCCCAGCTGTTCAGGCAAGTTCATACATGGCAAGGCAGGGCAGGGATTCACCGAGTGGCAGCTGACACCCTGAAACCACCTGGGCCGCAGGATAGAGCCCAGAATTGGAATTAGCATCAGTGAAAGTGGAACAAGCAACCTCTGAGTTTATCCAGGGATAAAAGCGCACACACCTGCTGCTGGCACAGAGCGAGGAGAACCATGTTCTGCACTCCTGCCCAGCAGCTCACCCAAATACCCTGAAAATGCACAGACCCAGTTTTTCCTCACACCAGCAAACCACAGGGTTCACCAGAGCATGGGCACAAATACACTGATAGCAGCAATAGTGTGCAAGTGGGACCAGGGCAGTGATTGTCCCCCTGTGCCAGGCACTGCTGAGGCACCTCAAAACCTGGGGTCAGTTTTGGGTCCCTCACAAGAAAGACATTGAGGGGCTGGAGTGTGTCCAGAGAAGGGGAAGGGTCTGGAGCAGCAGGAGCAGCTGAGGGGGCTCAGCCTGGAGAAAAGGAGGCTCAGGGGGGACCTTCTGGCTCTGCAACTCCCTGACAGGAGGGGGGAGCCAGGTGGGGGTCAGGCTCTGCTCCCAGGGAACAAGGGGCAGGACAAGAGGAAACTGCCTCAAGTTGCACCAGAGGAGGTTTAGTTTGGATATTAGGAAAAATTTCTTCATTGAAAAGGTGGTCAGGCATTGGAACTGGCTGCCCAGGGCAGAGGTGGAGTCACCATCTCTGAAGGGATTTAAAAGACACACAGATGTGGCATTTGGGGACATGAGTTAGTGCTGGGGGAATGGCTGGACTCAATCATAAAGGTCTTTTCCAACCTAAATGATTCTGTGATTGTTCAGCACTGGAAAGTCTTAGGAAACCAAGACATTTCCTGCAGTATTTGTGAGGGAATACTATTTGGGATAAAAGCTGGCACGTGTCAGGGCCAGCAGAAAATGTCCTTGGCTCTACCACACCCCAAAAACTGCAAGTTTTTCCCTTAAAACCACCAGCTTCTAACAAACACACCCCCATTATCTCCTAAGTCAGAAGATAAAAAATCTTTACTTTCTTCCAAAGCGCCTGGAAAGGATCAAAGGTTTCTTTCTTCCAGCAGGAGAGGGCTGGGGCAGGACTCTCAGCATTACTCAGCAAGTCTGCACCTTCCCATCCCTATTTCCAAGGAGTCCCTGAGGCTTCCCCAGCTCCTTCCTTCACCTGCTCGTGTACAGACGTGCCCTGCCCACACCACCATGAATTATTTGAGAGGCATTTAAACACCAGAGCAGGGAGCTCAGGCTTTTGGGTCAAGCATTTCCCCTTTCCTTGCCCTCCACGCAAGCAGAGACCAGATCTGACATTTGCTCTTCAACCACCACTCGCTTTTGTGCACAGGGAACTGTGCAGTGATACTTCTCAAAATAGGGAGGTAAAAAAAAAATAAAAATCACAGAACCTTCTCAAAATAATACTACAAACAAGAGATAAATCTAGCAGATTTGTGGCCAAAGCTGAGTTGAGGTTACCAGTCTGAGCAGCAGCTCCACATGTAGTTTTTGAGCATCAAGGGGGTCTCCTGCAACATGAACCCATCCAGCAGCACGAGCCAGGTGCAGATCCAAGCCAGGACTCTTGGAGCACTAAACACACACAACCACACCTCAAGTCTGCTTGTGCCCAGCACCTGGATGTGAGGGAGGAACCGGGCCATGCCTGTTTTGTTATCCCAGTCGGCTGTCTGGGCAGTTAACAGAGGTTTGTACAAGCCAAGTTGCTGTGACACCCCATGGCAGCTCGGGTTTATCACACACAAAAGCCATTTACACAAGTTTAAAGCCACTGTGCACCTTAACAAAGGCCTTGGGACAGCTGCTGTGGTCTATTGTATAAACAGACATTCACAGTTCAACCTGCACCTCAGATCCACAGAAAGCCTCAGAGAGAGCAGGTACCATTCCCTGAAGCCAGGGGCAGGTATGATCCAACAGCTCTGATGCTGAGCCTGGCTGGGTTTGCTCCAGGGTTTGCCATGGCTCTTTCAGCTCACACAGCACCCTTTCCTAGGATCTGGGGATTTTGGCATTACCATCACAAGTGTTTGCACGTCCTCCACTGGGGTCACAAAGGTGCTCCTCACCCACCTCATCCCCTGCTCCATTTGCTGACGTAACCACACGCAGCA